TATGTAGCAATAACAATCCTAAATCTCCTTGTATTGACTTTGGAAGGCTTAGAGTCACAAGTGTCACTCCTCTAATGGCTCACAAACACCATAAGCAAGAGGATGAAGAGGAGAGAGGATGGAGGCTGCCAAAAACGTGTGTAAACCCTTACAAGAAGCTTAGCCACGTTTTTGAGCCTTAAGGGGTCTTTATATAGTTGGGCTATTAGGGTTATCTAACAAGGAAACCCTAATTTGGATGCTTAAGCCCTAAGCAACCCATAGACTCCTTTTATTAAGCCCATGGACGATTTCCTTATGGGTTTCCCATTAGAATTCGTCCATCCCTTAATACAAGGCAATCCATGGCCCAAATTGCAATTATCTTATAATTACAATTCCAGTCCCTTAAGTTTAATTAATCTCTTTTAGTCACAAAACTAATTACCAATTAATTATTGACTAATATTAATTAAACAATATGATTTCTCCTTTAATATATTATTCCCATAATATATTAATAAATCATATTTAATCCTTACTCTCCATAATTCATCCTATCAATTTGCTTTGGTGAAGGCAACCCAAAAGGACCATGCACCATCGGGTCAAGTACATACCAAAATAGTTATGGACTTAGACACTAATCCAACAGTATGTGCCTGGTAGGGAGGTGAGTGTGGGCGAGGTCTCGTATCTCACCAATAGCAGAGTGTAGATGGGGTTCCATATCTCACTAGTAGCAGATTAGAGGCGAGGCCCGAACTAGGACAGGAGTGAGGGTGGGCTAGGCCCGTACCTCACTACCATTAGGAGTATAGACGGGGTTCCATGACTCATCAGTAGCAGGACATGGGCGAGGCCCAGGAGAGACGAGGCCTTAGGACAGAACTAGTTGCATGTGTCAGTTATGTGTTGTGAAATGTTTATGTGTGATTATTTGTTGACGGGCGAGGCCCTGTGACAGGCGAGGCCTAAGTAAAACAGATCTGTATCCGAGCGGGGCTCGAAGCCAGGCGGGGCCTGTAGCGGCGGAGCCGTTGTAGCGGGCGAGGCCCGAGGTAGGGGGCGAGCCCAATATAGGGGTCGTGGCCCAGTATGTGCAGTATGTGGTTATGCATGGTATGTGGTAGGGTGGGGAACTCACTAAGCTTCGTGCTTACAGTTTTCAGTTTTGGTTTCAGGTACTTCCGGTAGCGGAGGGAAGAGCTCGGGGTGATCGCATGGCACACACCATAAACTAGGCAGCCTGGGAATGTTTACTCTGATAACGAGCATGTGTTTTGAAAACTTATACTCATATTATGTTTTGAAATGATGACTTTACCTTAAGTAATGATTTATTAAAAGAAATTTTTGGTCTTAAATTTTGGGTCGTTACATTTGTACTTCTAGTTGAAATTACATGATTACTATGTCTAATTTGTCTCTATTTGACAATAGCGCGAATGCGATTTTGCGTTTAAGGAGGCGTGGTGCCATCTATTGGATGAAAATCCGATTAAATACGAAGGGGAACCTATTATGACCGATCTTAATGGCGATCGAAAGAAAGAAGTTCTTATGGCTACTTATAACACTAAAATTGAGGTATTGTTTATCTAGTTCGTAGAATCGAATTTGCGGTTTCAATTGATGGTCATTCAAGCACGTTCGATAGCTCATAGGTCATTCAAGCACTTTCTATAGTCTTCTTCTTCCAAGCATACTCTCAAACACTTTAATTTTTAACTTTTAATTGAGTGTTGCTCCAAACGAAATATGGTTGTTAGTTGCTATATAACCTTGTGTTATCTCTTATATTAGCAGATAAACTTTTAGCATTTGCAACTTAAAAATCAAGGGGTACTACTACACTACTATGGTTTTAGTTATATTTATAACCACCTTTATTGAGATTCGAGTTATGAATATGTTCTTTGTCTTCTTGTACTTGATTTTTTTCATATTGATTAGGTTTTAGAACCTCACTAGGCGTGTGGATGAAGGATTTAGTGAGGCTCATGTTCTTGCAGAAGTATTATTGTTACCTGATAAAATCTGTTGCTTTGGGCAGATATGAGTAGCCATGGGAACAGGGGTAGTTGATTGAACATCCAAATGTGGTCATGTATAAAACCAAGTCTTGGTTGTTGTGACATCAGGTTGGTCTATAATGTTCTTTATCATAACTTCCAAAAGTTATGGGAAACAAATGTTCAGGTCAGTTTTTTTATAAAATTTGCATAAATCTTAGTTTTATGGTCAACTTTAATTACATTCTAGTTTTTTAGGAGGATTTCCCACAGAATGCTCACCATAGAGAAATGTCAATTTATGTAAGTAATTATACATTAAAACATGGAGATGTTGGAGGAATGAAGGAAATGCGGCCACATGTATGTCTCTTCAACTCTTGTGTTTTTATATATTCATTAATATTACTTATAACATTGTATAAAAATTGAATAATCATTTATTTCTACACTATTTTAGAGGGACCTTTATCCATTTGAAGCAATTAAAATGGCTGAGGAAAGTGCAGATAAGCATCAAAGAAGCGGAAGCGAAAAAGAAGTAACAAATTTTGAAGTTTTATTTCTTTATTAACTTTTTGTTTCTAGTGTTTTTCAAATCAAATTATATATATATATATATATATATATATATATATATATATATATATATATATATATATATATATATTCTGCAGAACAACTATTGATTTATACCATTTTGCAATTTGTGCTTTTGCTGGGGCAAACCAGTGCACATCGCTGGAGTAGAAAGAATGAGGTAGTAATTTTGAAGTTTATATCTTGTAAACCATTTATTGTTGATTTATAGATTATTACTTATTCAATTTACTAACAATGTTATACTCTTATTAAAAGAACTTGGAAGCCACTCCATCAGATAAATCTCCACTAATTCCATAACATAATTATAAACTCGATGTTCAACCAGGAGTGGTACATTTCCTAATTGTATTTTCCCTCTTTCCACAAATATTTAACTAAAAATGTTTTTTTTTCTTTAATGTTTAGTATTCTCCTATACTTTCAAAAAAGTTGGATCAGTGCAGAACGGTGTATGCATGTTTAAATCTCTTTTGGGTGGATTATCGGGATGGAGAAAGGTATTCCCGTTCCCATCCATCTTGTTTTCTCTATTCCATTATTCTTTTGTTGGAGCTGACACAATCTTAATTCCATTTCGATTACAGGATTCTCCTTTGCCTTAAACGTGCATTAAAAATCGCAAATGTTGCACAACAAATGGCAAATGTTGCACATGGTAGCAGTAGCCCTATTACTCTATTTGTTGAAATACTCAAGAAGTAAGTAGTAGTACACTTTTCACTAAAGCCTTCAATTAATAGCAACGTACTTTCATTTCTTTATATGGAAGTAGGTTGATATTTAGGAAAGGTATATAATATAGGACACTAATAATAGATAATAAATATTGGATTCCAATTCCAACTATCTATATTATTTTGAGAAAGGGAATCCACAGATAACATGCAGTGCAATCCAAGGGCTTATTGAGTTGATGAAAACCGAAATGTGGAGACTCAATGTGAAAAATATGAGGATGTTCAACAAAAAATATGAAGATGCTCAACAAAATAATGCGAAGTTTCAACATATTAATGTGAATGCTCAAGCAAAGTTTTAACAACTTGCACAAGCAATGATTGTGATTAACACTTTGAGTGAAGATGTCAACTTTTATTAATCAATGATAGAATATTATGTATCGATAGTGTTTTATGTTTAATTTGTAGAAACTTTGATTTTGAAATATGTATCTTTTGATGTATTCGATATTTCTTTAAGTTTCTATAGAAATACTATTACTTGTGGTTTTAGATTAGTTGTGTTTTTATAAATTGATATAAATAGTCAAATTGAATAATTGAATTTTATTGAATAATGGTATGTAACAAATGCTACGAAAAATTGATATGGAATTGGCTATGGAAAAATCGCATTAGTTACGGAAAATTACTATAATGGATATGGAATTTGCTACAGAAAAATCACTATGGAATTTGCTACGGAAAAATCGCTATGGAGTTTGCTACGCAAAGACCGTTATGGAATTTGCTACGGAAGCATTGTTACGGAATTAGTTACGGAAAAATTGCTATGAATTTTGCTATGGAAAAATTGTTATGGAATTTGTTACGAAAATGCTATGGAACATAAATTGCAACGAAATAGATGTCGTAGAAATTGTCATAGCACAATCATCACGGAATTATAATTCCGTAGCTAAACATTTTACTATAAGAAATATAGTTACGGAGTTTGATTGAAAAATTTTGTAACAAATTTCGTAGTTATTTAGCTTTAACTACGAAATTTTAGCTTTTTGCTACAACATTCTTCCCTAGCTAAATTGAAATTTTCTTCAGTGTTTTAAAGGGCTTGTCGATTGAAAGAGGAGAAGGGGACGAGGAAGAAGTGTAGCTAGCCATAAAGAAGTCAACAACACGATGCATGTTTCTAGAGGAGGCGAGAGAGAATTAGGGTTTAGAAAAAAAATGCTTTGATAACATGTTGGATTATGATTTTCCGTGAATAATTATCGTCATGCTACCAATAAAATGTTTCTGAGGTTGGTTATGATTCATAGGTTCTCTTACTATTATTGTAGAATGTTTCTGAGGTTGAAAATGGTTCATAAGCATATTATCTTGATTATTGGATTATGGTTTACTGGTTATTTGTATAATGTTGTTTTACTCATAAATTAGATAGAAACTGCATATAGTTATACATCCTTGTGTATTTTCGTATGTATTAATGTATAGACAATTGTTCCCATCTCTCATTTTCATGAGAACCAATAATAAAATTTATCATTGAGAAGAAAACTTGAAGATAGATAGGTACTGTTATTAAAAGAAAACTGTTAATCTCAATTAACAAAAAATAAAATAAAAATATTAATATGTCAGTCAAATAATCCTAAAAATATATATAGACGTAACGTAGAAAAATATAATAAATTCCTAAAATCATAAGGAGAGCTTAAACCCAAATTCTCCTTGTTGCTTCACCGGTGAAGAATATATCAAGTTCCGGTGGATGGAAATACCCGACCTTCGACTGCTCCCGCTTCTTCCGGCGGACTGCCGCCTTCTTTCTGGGCGGAGGTGGGCACTCTGTTGCAACCGGAATTCGACTTTCCTGCTGCTTCGGCGTCGTGCATTCTTCTTCCATATAATTGCGAAAAATCAACAAAACTGGATCGTGAATACGTAGGGTGGAGTATGCAGTGGTAGTGTATTGTGCTTGTGTAAACTGAATCGATCGAGATCGTAATTTATTGTTTGGAATGTTGGGGTAAGAAGTAGAAGTGGGGATGTCGGGGGAAAGTGGGAGGAAGAACACTTTGTTGACTGTGATTTGAAAATCATAGTCACCGGTCTTTTGAGAAGGAGAGAGAGGCGGCATGGTGACCTGACCAAGTCAAACACGGCTCCTTTCACATCCGTGTTGTGTTTCTTAATTTGTAAATTATAATTATAACAGTAAATTATATAAGTGTTCATTGTTGTCTAGTATTTTGATTTCGTTTTAATTATTTTATTAGTACAAATTGCAAAAAGTAACAACATATTTCAATATCCTATTATTGATGTTAGGACTTAGGAGTCTATTTTTGTCGTTAATGTTACATGCTCCCGTTTCTTTGTGTATTTAAGAACATTTTTATGATTTTATATGATTTATGTATTTTTTTTTTTTAATAAATATTAATTAGTTTTTTAAGAGACCCATTTATAAAGTTAAATAACACACTAAATCAGTTACCTCATTAAATTAAAATTTTAATATAAGAATATAACCCTTACTTGCCATAAATAATTATATAAAGCCAAAACACAACTAAAAATCCATTTTATAAATTCGGAATTTCTGACATCAATTATGTACACGGATATCCAAACATGAAACATTCATAAAAGGCTTTTGGCCTAGTCGTAAGGAATGATACTCTCAAGTAAGATGTCATATGTTTAAGTGTCATTAAAAGACATAAGCGGTCTTAAGGATATGTTAGTTTGGCTGTTAAAAAAAAACAATTACAAAACCTAAATAGCATAATTAAAAATTCTATTGTTATAAATATAAAAAACATGTAACAATTACGCTCAAAAAAGACATTACAAATTCACATAGGAAACAACTCATATTACATGATGTTTTCAAAGTTAAATACTTATTTGTAGCTTATCAAACATCAAGGTCTGGGTGGTGTAGTCGGTTATCACGCTAGTCTCACACACTAGAGGTCCCCGGTTCGAACCCGGGCTCAGACATTTTTTTAAACGTGTTTTTTTGATTATTTATTTAATCTTGCTTGCTCAAATGACAAATCAAACCTGTACTTGAAGTAATTGGGTATTCTTCCTTCCTTCGTTTGATTGTTTTCCTCGCTTTTTGTCTGCGGATTCGTAATCAGATATTTTGAGATTCATTCATTCGCTCGATCGACCAACACGAACACGAGCCAACGAAATGGATTGGGGAACTGTAACAACAGAAGATCTGATCGAAGCGCTTAGGGAAGTCGATTGGTCATCACCTCCTCGTCCTCTCAACGAATTTTTTTCCAGATTCACCGTCCCTCGTTCCTCTAGCAAATGGAACAGTCGCCTCAAGTGTAATCTCTACTAGTACGTTCTTATCTTCCTCTAGTTCCTTCCGTTCTGTTCAATCGTATCTGAATTATATGTTCCATTCACTCATTGTTGAGTTGTTGATTTGATTTTGCGGACAATCAAGATTAAAATCAGAATACATGGATTAGTATAATTAAACCCTAAATTCTAATATGTTTCGTTAGAAACTTTGATTTACTTCGAATATGTTACTTTGGCAATCGCCGATCGTTGTATAAATATATCATCTCTCAGCCCTAACTTTGGTGTTATAACCTCTGTTGTGAATTACTAAACTAATTCAAGTTAGGTTCTTGTTAGTTTTGCAGCTTACGTATGATGATTTTTGTTGAATTGAGATGTTTTGTTAACTTTGCTGAAATTATGTTGCTTAAGCATTTGTTGCTTTTAAGTTTAAATGCATCTGAAATTGGGGATTGAAAAAACCAAATAAACCTAGATTTGCAAGTTCTGACATGTCTTGTTAATTTTGTAGCTTATGTGCATGCTCTTTCTTTGAAAATGTGTTTTCCCTTGGTTATAAGCATGTTTAACAATTTTTTTTTTTTCTGTTTTTTGCAGCTACCGGACAAATTACTTCATCATGATTGTTTTCATTCTTGGTAAGCTAATTGAAAAATCTTGAAGGCTCATTTCCTGTGAAGTTTTTGATAATTTTCCATATATATAACAATCTTGAATTTTGTTATCTGCAGGATTGGGATTTATCAGGAGGCCACTTGCTATAGTTGCTGCCATGTTGACAGCTCTTACTATAGCTTTCTTAAATGACAGGTATGCTGCTATGCACCTATATTATTATGCATGTTGAATTGCTAATATCTTTGGTGATTTAGCTAGATATATTTGACTGCTGTATACTTTGTGCGACTATTGCCGCTGGGATTCCTTAAGAGAATTCCACAAACTTTTGGCTTCACTTTTATCTATGGTCTGCAAATATTTTGTCAATAAAATTTATGTATTTAATAACAGCTTTCATCCATACCTGTGCTGCTACAAAACTTGTTGCTGAAAAGGCATAGGGATTGTTACTTTATTAATTTTCTGTGTGATTGTTTCTATGCCTTAAGCCTTAGCGATTAAGATTGTAAGTTTGTAACATTAGAGTAATAAGAAATTGTATATAAGATATCTATTAGTATTGATCTTTATCATGATATCATCTTTAGGATTATTAGTAATTTTATTGTTGGTATAATACTGTAATTATTCATCATTATAGTCACTCTAGGTTGTATTTACCAAGAACAGTTACTAGATGTCTAAAACAAATGCTTTTTAGGGTTTGCTCTTTGATTGTGTGAAACTATCACCCTTAATTAAGATGCCTTTGATTATCTGTGTGTGATATTTAATCCATCATAATTAAACATAGAGCATATTATGTAGCCAGATGTTTTACAGGAAGCTCACTCCAGCAACATATTTAAAAATAGTTATAAGTCTTATTTCTATTTTATCTGGGGAACAAGAAAAATACCACTTTCTATCCAAAAACAAACCCTTTTCTCTTTTGGTTTTTCTAAAAAATTGCAAAGTTTCCTTTATTGTAAAGATTCTTTTCCACATCTACCTATTTGTCCATGGGCAATAATGAGAAATTAAATATCTTCCTACCCATATGAAATGATGACAAGTGTCTTATTAATTTTATTATAGGTCTTAACTTCTTACAGATTTGCCATTTCTTTATGTCACCATTTTCTCGAATATTTTTTAAAATGTTATTCAAGTTTTCTAAGCACTGGTTTACAGCTTTGCAGGGACATTTAGCGAAAAGGTGACTAGAACTGTGAGGCGGTTTTCTCCACACATGGCAGCAAAAATGAGACCTCCACTAACGTGAGCTTTTTCCTTATTTGCCTCAATTTTTCTTATTTAATATAATATAAAAAAAAACACTTCTTACATTTGTTGTGTGTTTACATCTACAGACCTGTTATTCGTGGGCGCCCTTCTTCTAAGAGAACAATTTATATATGTGGAAAACCTCGTTGGGTGTGTGTTTCATTATTCTCTGCTGGTATGTCAAATGTCAAACACTTTTAATTCTTTCTTTTTAACCAAAAAAGATTAAAAAAAAAAAAAAAAGGATTGAATTTTATTCCCAAATGGTACCTAACCTAGTACTTGCTTGTTTTTATTCAATACAATGCAGCGAGTTTCTTTGTTTGGTTTATTTCTTGTGGGCTCTTGACTTTGCTATGGGCATGTGCCATCGGCCTTCTTGGTAATTTCCATTGTCTTTGTTAATACTGTGTTTGACATACACTGGAGGAACTTGAAAGCTTTTAGACACCCTGTGTAACAAACGAGGTCTGGTTTTCTAATTGCTAACATTTCTGTGTGAAAAATGTTATTGTCAGCGACGGTGTTGCATGCAAGCTTTCGGACACCCAACTTGAAAGCTCGTCTGAATACGTTCCGTGAGGAATTCCGTGCAGTTTGGCGCAATTATAGCGAACTGTAGGTGTGTGTAGATTCATGTTCTTACTTACTACTACTGTTTATTTGAGTTTTCAGGATCTTCATGTTTTAGTGGTTATGGAGTTTGACACCATGTGTTCTTTTATGTTAATAATATTTCGTAATTGGAAGCCTTTTTACACATTCTATTTGTTGCTTTTTGCAAAATGGTGCATGTACACCTTATGTATCAAGAACTTTATGCAGACACCCGGTGAAATGCGTGCAAAATAACAGAAGAGTATTCAATTTTTTTTTAAAAAAAAGGCTAAAAAGCGATTTCATAGATTGTCAAGACCATTTCGAAGCGGACCTTGTGAAATTTCTTTAACAGTAACAGAAACTATATTTCGTAGTGCATACAACATAATACCATATCCTATGCCATTGTACATGTAGAAGAGTTATCATGCAGATAAAAGAACTAAATTTTGCAAAAAACGCATTTCACATTTTCATAGGACCGAGAACATTTCGTTGGGCACCCTGCGAATTACCTTGAGATATCTCACGAATGCCCTAAACCCTAACAAACAAAAAAAATGTAGGCCTAAATACCATATCCTATGTTAGTGTAAGTAGGAAGTCAAGCAAAAAAAAAAAAAAATATCCAAAAAGGCACATGGGGTCAAAAACATTTCTCATGGAACCCTATGAAATGTTCAAACACCAATAATTGTTTATAATCTTAAAACACAAATAATATATGCAAATTTGAACTGTTAACATAAAAAACTTACTCGAATAAGACTATTGTCCTTTTCGGTCATCACAAGTTGACAGCGTTTCTGACTACCTCAAAATGAAAAGCAGTAAAGTAAGGTGAATCAATCTTTTCGTTGTAAATATTAGGGGTGTTCGCGGTGCGGTTTGGTGCGGTTTGGAGGTAAAACCACAAACCGTACCGCACGTGCGGTTTGAAATTATTGGAAACCGCAAACCGCACCACGAAGGTTCCAAACCGCGTTATGCGGTGCGGTGCGGTTTGGTGCGGTGTGGGCGGTTTTGGTGCGGTTTGGTAGGCAACTTTTCAAATTTAAGTATGAGTATATAAATATTAAGTTATTGTAAACAATATATTCTAAACAATATATTGTATATGTTTTTACCTAAGACTAGAAGACGAATAACAAACATATACTCTATATACATTCTAAACAATATATTGTAAATGTTTGAACGTATAATTAAAATAAAGAAAAACATATAAAGAATTAGCAAAAACATCAAAATTATTAAAGGAAGTCCTATCAAATTCACTTAAACAAAAGTTTGAAATTTGCATCCTGTTCGATCCAT